CCCCCACACACACACACACACACACACACACACACACACACACACACACACTGGGCCAAAAACTTTATTGCTTCACTTTCTGAGGTGGGCTGCAGAGAAATAAAACCTTCAGATGGTGAATATGTTTTCTGGCCTTGCAGGGTTCACTAACAAAACAACCCATCATGAAAATGCAGCAGACACACAAAACCCTCCTCATTCTGAGCTCCCTATGACTCTGCAGTGCAGTTTTAAAAAAAAACAAACAAGACTAAAAAAGAGTTTTTCGATGTTTAAAAAACACCGAAAGTTCTTGGGTTTCAGCTTGATGGGATCAAAGTGAAATATCTTTGCTAACTTTATGTTTTTTTCTGTGCAACAGAGCAAACAGATTCTCTAGTTTTAGTGGTCCAGTGAGACAGTTTGTCCTCATCACATAATCTGTTTCTGATGAGGATTAATCACCATCAGCTCAGCTGATCATCACATTAAAGATGAAGTCAGTGAACTGACCTAAAGACCCAAATCTCCTGGGATCACTGGAGCCCTGTGTAGGCCTGCTCCTCTTTAAAACCTGACGAACAGGTAGATCTGTTCTTTTCCCCTCAGCTCTGCAGAATGACCCGTCGTGTTAAAGCTGCAGGAGAGTCTGACTGGATGGTTCTGGAGTTTTACAGCTGGTTCTGTTGATCCTGGACCTGAGGATCTGTGGATCATCAGTGAGCAATTAGATCAGCTGCTGGATCAAGAAACATCTTTAACTGAAAAGGAATCACTGAGGAACCTTTGGTTTCTTTTCTGTTCTCAGGTACCAGAAACCATTTTTTTTCTTTAGGATGTTGGTTCTTTTTCAGCCCAAGTTGTTTTGCAGTCTTTGACTCATTTTACATCTCAAAGTTTTTGTCATTTGGTGTTTTTCTGTAATTTTGTCCTACATTTGGGTTGCATTTTTGTTAATTTATTTCTTCAAAGTTGCTTCTAACATTAACTTACTCTCATTTCTCTTCATCTTTTATATTCAGTTTTTGGTTAGAGTTTCAAAAATGTTCTTTTTTAATTTTGGTTTATAATCTATGGAGCCTGTGACGGGGCATGGGGGGATTTTTTTTTTCTTTTGTGTTCCTTCACAATATTGCTTTGCGTTCCTATGCAAAAGTTTGTTTTGTATTAACTGTATTGTATCAGACATTTATTTTTGAAATATTTGGTTGCCCAAACAGGATGTGTCGCCATAAGTTCGTAATTTGACAGTGATATTTCTTTAGGTGATTGTTCTGAACTGTAATTTCATTGCGCTCTGTACAATGACATTAAAGCTCTAATCTAATCATCTAATATTTGCATGGCTGCATTGAGTTCAAATATCTGTAGCTCTATGCTGGCTGTGATACAGTCATTCAAAGCTGAATTAAAGGCTAACTCCTGTATTACAGTGAGAATGTTAATTTGTTAATAAACCAACAGGCAATAATAAACAGGTGTTGCGAGGCAACGCAAAACGTATTGCGAGGTAACACAATAATATTGCATGGGAACGAAAAAGAAAAACATACACCCATGTCACATCGCAGGCTCTGTAGTAATCAGTGTTTGTTTTTTATTTTATAAATTAAAGTTCTGATTTAGTTTTGATGGTTTTCATAGAAAACCTACAGCCTCAGTGAACTGAAACAAACACAAATGCTTCATTACGTAAACATTTGTAAAACGTTGAATTACCAAATGAACAAAGCTGCAGGTTCAAAGTCTATTATTTGGTGTTTTGGTTGTTATTTAGTAAATTATATCACGTACATTTCTATTTTCTTCATGACTGTGGTTCGTATTTTTCTAGAAGAATTACAGGGTTAAACCCTTTATATTTTGGCTGTAAAGTTCTAGACCTATGAAATATTATAGCAGATTTAACAGTAGCTTCTATAAAACCGATTGGTCTAAGAACAAATGGGGAAATACCTGAATCTGATATCAGTTTTTTTTTAATATTCCATTTTAAATGAAATTGTGGACAACTTTAAATTATCAGCCAACAAATATGTAGACTGGCTGAAAATAAAAATAAAAATGTTGACATTTACGATTGGTTTTTGTTCACAAAAAAAAATACATAAAACAATAAAAATGGTACAAAAACTCATCCTTGGGGTTCTCCGTAAGTAAACTTCATGAAGGCTATGATTCATGAAAAGGAGCTAAAAAATCTATTAAGTTTTAGTTGTTTAGTGTCGCCGAAGCGTTATTTCTTTCAAATTGAAATTTAATGTAATTTTATCTCTGCGATTCCTGCAGTCAGACAAATGGAGTTAAATGGCACACACTGAGCTTTCTAAGTTCTTTGAAACTAAAGGAAATTTGATTTTCTAGATGTTGTCTTTGACTTGGAGGTTTTTTACAACAACGTGTCAAGTTTCAAGTTAATATTTTTTGAGAAGGTCAAGCTGCACTGTAAAAATGAAATGTTGGATTTACTTAACCATGTTATGTTACCTGGTTCCACTTAACTGAGTTGAGTAAATTCAAAGCAATATACCAGTTTTTTAGCCAAAGAACATGAGTATGTTGCTTTGAATTTACTCAACTCAGTTAAGTGGAAGCAGGTAACATAACATGGTTAAGTAAATCCAACATTTCATTTTTAGAGTGTGTGTTATTTTTGGTACTTTTGTTAAATTTACCTAAAGAAATGGGAACAAATTGTATCTAGGCTGTTGGTGACAAGTCTAAAGACGTAATTTAGACTCAGTCTGAGGAGTGGAATACAGTTAAAAAAAATGTTGCTAAACAACAGCTTCAGTAAAAAATACATTTTTAAAAGCACATTTTAATTGCATTTTTTGTGTCTCTATAAACAACTAAAATATGGTGATTTGTGTTTTTGGGTTACTTTTATCTGTTTTTTTTGTCAGATTATTGTCAGTTTAAATTTTGTTCTCTGTGTTCAGAGCAGAAGATGATTTAAAAACAACTCAGCTACAAAGAGCTTTATTCAAACCTGACAACCGTAAAGAGAAGCAGAATGAAGTTGCATTTTGTTAAAAAAGATCAAACATTTGGCACCGTAATAATATCTTTCCGGTTTTATCAATCAGTCTCTTTATTTAGACACAATTATGGTCCATAAAAAACAGACAAAACAAGAACAATAAAAAAGAAGAAAAATAAAAAATATATAATGAAATAATCAATCACTGACATATAAACTAAAGCGCCAATGATTCCACAAACTGGAGAAGAATCTCACTGAGCTTTGAACAGGAYTGGTCAAAGTCTGAATGATGCTGTTTGYAGASTCTGTTAATCTACACAYACATCTGTGCATAATGTTWCGAAGCACAACAGCACAGGTTGGTACACTGACATTCACAAACATCTGACTGGCACTACACCATCGGGTCACCCTAAGCAGCATCCTCATGCCATCATTATAAGCGACCTGAAGTTTATTCATACTGCTTTTCCTGTAACGCCGCCACAGGTGGGCTGTGTACATTGGAGTACAGTATGCTTTAAAAAAGTGCAATTTTGACAGGTGTTGAACACATGGAGAACTTCCGAAGGAAAATATTAGCTTGTACATATTGAGTACAACGCTGCCTGTAAATGTCTCTATCATCAGACAGGTCAGCGGTGATGTAATGTCCCAAATATTTGACCTCATCAGTAATCATTAATTTTATGATAAAATATTAGTTATTTTTTAGTTTATTACTTGAGCTGAATGTTGAATTAGTTGAACTGATATATTTTTCCATAATGTTGTAAGAAAATTCGTGTTCAATAAACTGAAGTCGATATTAAAACCACCATTGTTAAATAAAATGATTTGTAGAAGGAATCAAACCATACAACACCAGAATTCTGGATCTGAGTGAGTTTTATTGTCACTTGAGCTGACAGGAAGCCAACATTGGCGAAAAACCAGGAAGTTCATGTATTTATACACCTTCTTCAATGCCTGCATTCGCCCCCTACTGACCTACGGCTGAATCACAGGCAGTCAGACAAAATTCTCATCTAATGTCATCACAACGTTTTAATTATGTGTTGTTATATAATTCGGACATGTAACTAATCTATATCAATCAAAACATAATAGATTAAACATTGTCGACATTATAAAAAAGAAAACCTAAAAATATAGTGTTGTGCTTTTAACATCAGTACTAACCTCTAATAACTTTAAATTTTTTTCAACGTTACCAAGAAGAAAGTCTGCATCATTTGTTCTGAAATGATCCTGTTTTCCTTCCTTAACAACAAAAACTCAAACTCATAAACATTTGGTTGTAAGATCTACTCGATGATGATGCTGACAGGACATTGTGGAGCTCATATGATCTGATTATGCTTCAGTAGTTGGCTTGTTAAATGTAAATCATTTTGTGTTTTATGTGAACGGATGGGTTGGAGGGTTTTGTCTACAGATGGCAGACATCCTCCACTCTTCATCCAGTATAATTTACAAACTGAGTTTAACACTTTCAGGGACAAATTAAATGAGCTCACGGGCCGCATTTCGCCCGCGGTGCGTCAATTGATGCTCACGGTGAGTCAGACCGACTTTAAACACTTTCCTGTTTCCAGAGCGCGCGGAGGAGGAGGAGGAGTGAGGAAGAGGAGGATGGAGGGAGCTACGGACACCCCCTGCGGCGAGCACGAGGCGAACTGCTCGGCCACGCGCGCCACAGACGCTCGGCTTCTGTCCACATCCTCGGAGTGGAGCGACCCCGGCACGGACGTGGATGCGCACCGGCTCCGGGACCTAACCCTAACCCCAACGGTGAGAGACCTCCTCTGCTGCTGAGACTGAGCGCATCTGTGGCTCCAGGTTTCTGATAAAATCTGTCAGAATTTAATATTTACCTGATTCACCTGCAGGCAGAGTTTCACAGCTTGAACACATGAGGGAGAGTTGACTGAAATGAGGAGTTTTGTGGCTTTAGTGCAAACATTTTTTATTTAAATTATAACAAAAGAAAAAAAAGACTGGATCTGAGAACTGTAATGTGTAAAATCTGCTTTTCCCCTTTCCTTCCTTTCATCTGTTTCATTCACACAGGTGTTTGAATGCAGCTTCTCATTAGATTGACTTTTACATTTACTGAGTGAAATATTATTGATGCATACACGACCAGAGTCACGTATTGATCTAATGAAATGACCTGATTCACTCTGGCAGCTGCAGACAACAAGAACAGGATGATGGACACTTTGTTAAAGTGGAGGGAATCTGATTAAAGCCAGTTAAAGATGATTGTTTTTAAATCTGCAGATGGATTTATGAGTTTAAATATGATTAAACTTGCATTTTATTTCATCCCACCCAAACTAGAAGATAGAAGACTGTTCCTGTTTAGACATTTTCTGGTATAAAAGCCTCGTTAGGACCAGAGTCTGGTCCTAAAATGGTGATGTCCTACTAAATATAGTAGTACAAACTTGTGTCTCTGTGTGTGTCCATTTGTTTGTCTAGACTGTTAGCAAAATATCCCATAGACCACAGAACAGATTTTAATTTCAGCAAAATAATCCACAGGTTTACATCAACAAGTGATGAATTTCTTGACTCAAATCAAGATAGCTGCCTCAGCCAACTAACCTTGAAAGACAGAAATGGCCATGATTCATCCAATCTTGCAGACATGGCTTGACGTTTGGTGTGCTGAGCTTTCTCACCAATACATACAGTATTTCGAGCTTAACATAATTGCACAACATCTTTGCGATAAATTTTTGTCTTCGACTGTGAGAGTTGACTCTGTCTGTTAGCAAAATATTGGCTTGTTAACGTCTTCTTCCACAATCCTACCTAAAAGTCTGCTCAACATCTACAACTGATGAACTTCTGTGATCAACCCAGGGGCGGAGACAGAGGGGTGGCCGGGGTGGCAAGTACCACCCCTGACACCTGATTGGCCACCCCAGGTGCTACCCACAAATAATTAACAAATGGGTGGGGATCTTGGATTCTGTGTTTGATCTTTGATACTACCGGACTATAAATTGCCAGCTGTGTGTGTTTCAAAAAATGAAAATAGCAATGGTAAAATTAGTTTTAACATTAGCAGCTAACTTAATTTGGGATTAGCATCAGCAGTCGGTATGTGATCATTCATAGCTTTCACAATAAAATCAATCTCAATATGTCTCAAAAGAGCCAAATTATAGCCTTTTAAAGTTACACATGGTGGCCATCTTGAATATTTGATTAGCATTTAAATTTTGTTACAGATAGTTTTTGGCAACTTCAGCTCTAATCTTCAACTTTGCATGTCTTAAAATGGCTGAACAATAGGTTATGACTACCATTCAGCTTGGTTTTTTTTTTTCAGCTATGATCACCCAAAATTTCAGCTCAATATTTGTTAAAACAACTGAATTAAAGCCGTTTGGATTGTTATGGACAAATTATTTATATCTGTTTCACCTTGACGCTGTCCAGTACTAATATCTAATGATAACTACTTTCGGCTGTTTTAATCTGTTGCCCTAGACTTCAAGACTCCAGCAATGCATGACCTCTCTTATTTTGATAAGGTAGCTTCTGGGCTGAGAGCCCTGTTATTGGTTAGGTGGTTACATTTGTCCAATGGTGATTGGTTGTAAGCATGTCACATGTTGTTATATCATTGGCTCTCCACTGACGAGAGCCAGCCACAACTCGACAGACTTCCTGATTGACTTCTGCTCTGTTGTTGCTCAGATTAAATCAATTGACGACCATACACGCAGACTTTCTGTGCATTTATTCCAACGTGTTTCTGCATTCTTGGTAAATCTTGCTACCACAGGATCTAGCTGTTGTGGCCATATTGACAATCTTGACATCTTTACAAATCCAGACTGCTATTCTTTACTTGCATGTGCCCCCCTAAAAAACACCTTGGCCACCCATTGCACCCCGTGTCAAGCTCCGCCCCTGGCTCAACCCAATAAGATGCCTGCCACGGCCAACGGACCTTATGTTTGTAACTCAGTGAACTGTACAGATAATTAAAAGTTAAAAATTCCAAGTGCAAATAGAACGTGAGATAAGATGATTTGACATGAAAGGCGGTGGGCAGCGTGTCTTCCTTAAAAGTAATGCCAGACCTTTAATGGAGTCTCTGAAATTATAAAGTGGTTCAAGTTTCTTGATCCTAGAGTTCACCCTGTTGTGAAGCCGGCTGTGTGGTATCAACAAACAGATAAAGTGTTGCACGATTCTGCCCGCTGGTCTGAGCTGCTCAGACGTCACGCTCGTCTTCATCTCCTCCTCTGGTCTTTCTGACGGTTCGGATGATGGAATGCCGGACAGATAAATCAGCTCGCTGTCCTCTGAAGCTTAGTGTGTGTGTGTGTGTGTGTGTGTGTGTGTGTGTGTGTGTGTGTGTGTGTGTGTG